CCATTTCGAAAGTCCCAACCCGAGCTGAAACGGTGTCTACCCGATGTTCCCCAGTTCCCCGATGTTCCCCGAAATCCTTAGGATTAGGGTTAGGGTTTGGGTTAGGGCCCTATAGGGTAAAGATTTCGGGGAACATAGGTATTGGGGAGCATAGGTATTGGGAACATAGGTACGCACCCGCTGAAACTAAACAAAAAGGACTTTTGTAGGCCTCGCTGCAAATAAATAACTGATCGTGATATATGTCGTGACATAATTACACTTGAGGAAACAGCTTGATTCACGATGTTCCAACAATCCCCTTTTTCTTCTGGATTTTGCTTTAACTTTACTTTATAATTTGTCATAAATTCTTGGCCTCGAAGGCAGCCAGTTTTTAACTTGGGCACACCCTGTGTAAAGAAATGTAATGAATGAATAAATGATCGTGATATATGTCGTGACATAATTACACTCGCGAAACAACTTCGTCAATGTACATATTGCTCTTGAAAACTGACTGGGAATCTAGCTGCTATGGAAATACACGCCAAACGTTTTAACTATATGGTAGAGTACCTGTACTAATTCTCACAATATATATTTTGAGCGATCATCAGTTGTGCGCAACTAAACCTAAATGAATTGTTAAATTAAATGTTTTTTTCCCCGTAAAATACGATTAGGCCTATACAGTCATTACGAATTTGCTCCTCTGGGATTTTGTATCAGGCAAACCGTTAATTCTTCATTTTGGTAAGTTTCGTAAACTTTGAATGACATTGACTCTGTCTTTAGACATGATTTGTCGTATTGATTAAAGAAAGAATGGTGCATGTATTATAACATATTTCAAGTCTGCCAGCGGTTTTTTTTTTCTTTTCAAATACTTTGCATATGTGTCATGACTTGATTTCAAATTAGGTATTCTTTTCAGAAAGGTGAAACAATTAATGGTATACGTCGGAAATACTATGTATCCACAAAATATTAAAGAGGGGAATGGGTCAATTAAGATAACATCCAAATAGACAAACAAAACTTGACAAACAAAATCAAAAAGGGATAAAGCCAAGATATCTTTAGTGGGTGGGTGAATGGAGTGTGACAAGGGGTAACTGAACATAATTATGGGAAGCTTTTTCGTTGGGTCTCTATACACACACATACTTTTTCTTGGTTATTTAGGGCAATAGATATTGGGGGCACTTCAGGCCCCCGTAGCTACCCAACACCCGATGAAATATTAACTTCATAAAGTTCTCCTATAAATAATGTGTTGCTTCTTAACGTTAAAGCGTGTCTTGTGTGTTTTGGGTCATTTCTCATCGAATCAGCCAGTCCACGCCAACCCTTGACATAGTTTTATATGACAAGCGTGTATAATTTATCGAGGAACGGGAGAATGACAGATATGATAATAGTATTCGTATGGTAAATTTAGTACGAACACTGAGTCGCCTCGGGTGACAGCAGTGGATGCGTTTCTGAATACTTGCCTCGTATATATAGAAGGGGAAAAAAATGTCTGTTTTTTGCACTTTTCTGTAACAAGGTTTTTTGAGGTGTGAGTGCAGGGAAACTACAAAACATAATTGGTAAATAAAGCACCAACATTTACTGGACATAACGACCTGTACCTTTTTTTCAAAACACCGTTGGAGCGTGGTCTGAACTCTGAATCACCCGCCATAAGCGAACACACAATACAAGAGGTTCTCACGATCGACCGGGCCGCTGAGCCGGTCGGATTGCCCGAGCTTTTCAGCCCGAGGGGACGGGGGATAACGAAACAAGCAAATTGGACATAAAACCCCATGCACAGATAGACAGGACACTGGGAATAAACCCGGGCCGAAGCTGACAGGCCAAAAGAAGCTTCTCCGGATTTTAGAAGGCCTGCACTTCTTTGTTTTAGAGTGCAGGCGCACGTTCGTCTCATGTATATGTATGTGTGCTGCCTGTCCCAGCCACTCCGGAATGAATATCAGTAGGAGGGAAAAAAGCCCACGGCTCAATATCTTCCTTATTGACTGTCTAATATTCAGATTATTCCAGTATAAGAAGACCCTGTCTTGTCATGAGATATACAAGCTAGCTCCCCTTACACCGAATCTTTCTTGACATGTCATGGCTTCAAGACGTTGCTTAGTGCCTTTGCCTCCTGATGTCCAACTACTATAGAACAAGGAGAATACTTATACAGATCCCGACTTTAGGAACAGGACACACTAATGTGCGTCACTTCACTTCTCTAATTGGCGATACAAGTCTGACAGGTGCTTTGCAATTTATACAAGAACCGAAGGGGACTGTTTGCATACAGTAGTCGCAGGGCTGCAGAATTATTTAAGTAGTTTGGTTTGACCAACCTGTTTAGATTAATCTCTTGGAATTTATATCCATTTTAGCGACCTTTGCAATAAGCGCAGATCACATCGAGCTGGTGTGCTATGGCCTCTCTAGCCGCATCCATTTCAAAATAATCGGGGTTCAAATTTTGATAACTGAGATCAGAAATCAAGCCTTTGTTTCAAGCAAAGTCCAATTCATTGTCTATTATAGTAGTGTGGTTCTTGAAGAAAAAAAAAGTGAAGTGTGCGCGTCACTCAGACAAAGTAAGGGACAGCGCCCAATGGCGAAACGCTGTCCGCCTAAGTGCATTAACGTGTCATCAGGCTCTCTTGCTCTCCAATTATCACTTACCACTTGTGCAGCACGCTGACAAACCCCGTCAATTTCCAGCAAATCTTAATGTAGGGGAAAAAGGGAACCAGGGGTTGGGAGGTTTGGGAACCAATCAGTAAATGCTGATAGAGCAGATTGTCTTGATGGGATGAGATGTTAAGACTAGTGGTCTCCGTCCAGACTCCAAGGACATGAAACATGACACGACATTCACGCATTAATTTTATGACTGGTTAATTGTTTTTGAAAGTTTTAAGCAACTCTTCACGTCGATTTCAGCCCGTAAGCAGATCCTGGTATGAAGGTTACAGGCTCCTAGAGTTACACGCTTAAAATGGTTGACAAGAGAGTCCGAGTATTGCTGCTTTTTAAACTTTATGATGCTCTAAAATTTTCATTACAATAAGATGAGAAATCTTTAGAAAAATACGAGAGTAAAACAAAAACCAATAACAATATAAATTTAATTATACAATCTTGCCGAAAATGGTATCTCGGAGAGACAGAACCGTAGATTTATGCAAAAAAAATCCAGAAAAACACACAAAAAACCTTTCGAACTCCATTTGGAAATACTCACAATCCTCAAACTTTTTAATTACACTATTCCCGACCCACTGAATCGATTAAAATATTTTGCGACAATAAATTGGTTCTAAAAATGGTAAAGTATTAGGGAGACAATAACATGTATCCTTATTAACCTGTGTCTCCCAAATATAAAACAATTTACTACAAATGTCTCCCTAAGCTATCATTGTTTGATTATACCGACAAAGACATTGTCAGGCCAAGGCACTGCTTTGTTGAGGAGTGGATTATTTACATTTACAAAAAGAAGACCACTTTTAATAATTCTGGATAGTGCAGGGGGAAAAGTGGCTTTGTAATTTAGGAACGCATGCAAAACAATAGGGCAAATGAAAAGTGTGGTAAACATAGGCATGACCTTAATTGTCTATAGACTTCTCTTCTCAAGCCACGCCTTGTCTAGCCAAAGAGTATGGAGCTATAACATGCCGCCATGACACTATTCCTGGTAAAACCCAATTAATTCGTGATTTTCGGAAACACATGCTCAATCACTCATAATGATTACCCAAAGGTACTTTGATGATACGAATGTTTTCTTTGTGGACAACTATTAGTTGGACTTGGCATAAGTTGTTCTGTATCAATAGAATGGTAAAAGGGGCACCGTTTTTAAGGAAAATTCAGATCAGTTAACAACAATACAATCAACAAAGCATTAGGGGTGAGCCCGTTTAAAATGAGGTACACGATTTGAAAAAAATGGAAGGGTCGATGTTATCGAGATGGGAAAAATATGCCTAGGTTTCTCTACACTTGTTTAATTATCTGAAGTCGTGTGTGTCTTGTGACTGAGCACCGGAGCTGTTTAACCACTCGGTTAATATTCTGACATTTAGCTTAGAGATTCATCATCGAACGCCAGACGAGAGGCAAGCCACTCGAGACTGGATACTCTCTGATGAACTGAAATCAAAATGATGTCACGTGTTTACAGAAGGAAAAAAAAAAGTATAGCCCCACTTTGCGTGATTGATATTGGGGATGGTGGAAATGAACGACTGAAATGCCGGAAGCCTCCGGTGCAATCTCCTGCTTGTTGGACCTTCACTTATCAAGGGGAGACATTAGAGTAAGGAGAGCTTTTCAATCTAAGCAGCGAAATTGCATTAGTGTCCGGCCAGTCCACCACGCCAAAAGCTTGTCAGCCGCCATCACGTACCTTCATTTCCTTATTGATGGAAGAATGCCGTTGCGCGCAGCTGTTTCCCCATCCGGCATTAAATGGTCGAAGATATTAGAATCGAACGAATAATTGGGTTCGTAAATGGCAGAAGGAAAAAAAAATGGAAGAAAAAGAAATGGAAGAAAGGAAAGAGAAGAAAGAGTGATTACTGAAGAGAGACATGTAATTGATTATTTTGGAGCGGTGAAGGACTTGGTGTGACGGCATCTACACTCGTTAATTATCCGTTGGTTTGTGCCATTCACCATATCCCAACCCTTAATGCATGTGCTCCATTATCAATGGATCTAATTACACCCACAGGTAATTAATATCCCTTTCAGCACTGCATAGAGTATATAAAAGACTCGGCACCATAGACATGTTTACCTCGTCAAAAATATAAGCTCATTAGCCGCAATGCGCTCACCTGTGAAAGAGCCAAAAGAAAAATACTCCCTTTCAAGAAACCCTTTTACCCTGAGCGGAGAATGGACGCATCCATTTCGTACGAATGAGTGCGAAAACTATAATAACACACGACATATTAAATGCGGCCATTTATTTCTCGTTGAAAGCCCCTCTTTTGTTGCCTGCTTAAACCGCATGTGATTTGGGCTGAATGGCAAGTTCATTATTACTCAGCGTCGCGCTGCTGACTATATAGATGTGTGTACACACAAACCGGGGCCCGGTGCCCCCATTTCCCGCCACTGCAGTGTGTAATCATTAACCGGCTGAACCGCGCACCTCGTGCACACTGCGTTTTGTTTTCAAGCAGCGGCAGCGCTGCAGTACTATACGCGGTCATTCATTCGTCAGGTCGCGAGCACAAGCGGAGGTACTGGCAATACGGATGTGTACGTGGCTGTACCGTTACATGCACATGAACTGTACACGTACATGGTGTGGAACCATTCCAACTCCAAGTACATTGTTGCTACACTATCGTCTGCGGTGTAATACCCACCTACAGCCTCTGTCTGTGTAGCAATTTTACGTTGGAAGCCAAGTAATTGCTGAAGAGAACTACGCATAAACCAAACTGCTTATATTTCCCATCGACAGGTACAGGCCTATGACAGCCTACACGTAAGTGATTGGAGTGACCCGCACACTGCGAAGTACTGTACGTGGGAGTACACCGACTACCTATACCGGATGCCTCACTGCAACATGTCAAGACATCCTCACGCTGCTGCAACCGTTAACTGCAAGTGAGACTCCGTAAATGTTGCCTGACTGGACAAGTGCTTCACGATTCCAGTAATAAGCAGTCCAATCATAGCCACTGCATTACCCCGAGCCTCCAGTCCATGTACCCCAAAGGAAATCAGGGGGACATTATTCAACGATCACCGACCAAACAGTGAGCAGGCACAGCAAGGCATGCCGCCGGGCCTGGGCTAGCATTAGCGTTCGTTTGGAGCAGCATCCAAGACGGTTTTCTCTGCTACACACGCGGATTATGATGCAGGTGTTGAGAACTGCGATTAACAGTTAGTGCAAATACTGTGACTTGTTGGCAATAAATGCCAAAAACACCACCAGCATAGGCCTACGTGTACATGTACATGTACATTCTGCTCCACATACATAAACCCTTACTCCATATTCATACACCCATAGTCACACACACAACACTGCATCAACAGACAGAAAGCCCGCTATGATATTGAACTAAACATACAAGTAAAACTTGAGAAAATCAGTCCGTGCTTGTTGTGTCAACCATTTTGGAGTCGCATGTGGAGAAGTTTCATGCACATGTACAGGATTTAGCAGTGCATTCGACATGACGCAAACCATGGACTCCGTTGCAGGCTGCGATGTGGGTAAGTTCACGTACGATTTCTATTTAGTCTGCTCCAGTTCATTCAAATCTAGTTTTGCCCGTGCAAGTGTGATGAATGGTGATGGATGATCCCTCGTTGAATGTCAGACGGGGTCTTTTGATATTCACATTGGCCGCGAGCCCGATCCACAACGGATCTACAAATGTACACATTTATAGATATTTCTTTTCAACCTCGATCAAATTTTCCATTGAAAAATGCTATGATCAACCCAGTATAAATCAAAAATGACTTTCAATTCTGTCAGTCTATCCAATAGACGGACCAACAAACGAACATAAACATTAAAATAAAAATATGACGTGTATAAACATTAAAATAAAAATATGACGTGCCAGGGTATTGATATAATGTTTATTGAACTTTACCGTTTTCACAATTATTCGTTTGGTTACAGTTTATACAATTCGCCAGCTGCATTTTTCCATCATGAAGTTTGTCAAGTGTAAAAAAAAAACCCCAAAACAGAATGACTGTCATATTGGGTCACTGAGTAAGCATGTCTGGCAGAAGGTCAAAACTTTAGAAGTTACAATTTCAGCTCGTTTCTTTGAGATGATGAAATCTGGATGTTTTATTAACAAGAAAAATGCACTTGTTTCTGGTAAAGCAATGTGCATTTTACACTCAGATGTTAGAATTCATCTATGAGCAATGTGTTGGAGCTGTTTATTTTGTTCATTAAGTCAACATTTCACCATATCAGTTCCGTTTGTTTTTTTTAACTTGCAGCGACATAACACTGCACTTTGTCATTTAGTCTTCCGAAGAATTCCATGTTTACTTTTGTACAGAAAATTTCATTAATTCAATTTTTTTTAAAATCCTATCAGGTTAAATGCTTGCGCTTTAAGGCCCCGTAGCAATTCATGTATTTAATAATGTCATTTTGATGGGTAAATTGAACACCAATATAACATTGAAAAGCACTTGTTCAAACTGTATTCATGAAATATTTCTGAATGATAAAAGTATATTTCGGTCAGTTTCAAGCATCGATATCATTATGAGCACGTTTGTAATATTGTTGGTGTCTAAATATTGTTGCCAGGCTTTGAAGACACGTCTGTGAATGGCTTAATGTGTTACAAAATAAAACACAGTTCACGATCCAACTCATCCTGCATTAGACTACATCGTAATATTCGAAAGTTTTATTTATTTTCGTTTCCCGTTTTTTTCATGATACCATCACAATAGCTTTGATATAGTTTACAGTGATCAAGAGTGGAGATAGAGAAATTATATCTGTGAGAAAGATATATGTGTGTTGTTAATGGAGTTTTCCCAGAAATTTAGTTCAAAATGGGAAAATTATTCTGCACTTTGTCAAGAGTAGGCTAATCCCATTCGTAACCACGTTTAAATGTGTCATTATTTACTATATCACGACAAGATGATAATTCTTAGTCATTATAGTGTTTGTACAGGGTGAGTAAAAACAAAAAGGAAACCCAAATGTCAGGACCATTTTTGTAATGAAGTTCTGCATGTAGCACTTTCAAAATCTAGGATATGAAAGCCCAGTTAATAAACTTTCTTTTAGTACAAGAATCATTCAAACAACTCGTGTACTTTTCAAGTTACGGAATTTTGGAACACAAACGCCGTTTTAAAGTTCTATCCACGGATCACAAAAAAGGTAAGTGTTCCTTCACCAAAACGAAAACAATTCACACATACATCCCTGAAAGTGCTACATACAGAACTTCATTAAATAATTGGTCCTGTCATTTGGTTTTCCTTTTTATACTCACCCTGTGTGTCAATAGATGAGAGTTGATTGAAGAACAATTGAACGTTATCCCCGGTATAAAATAAACATAACAATAAAAAAGTGGAGATGTATATTAACTGATAGTTGACAAAAGAGCATTATTTATATATTGCATTTATGAGGTTTTGTGGGTAACTTGGTTGAATCTATAAAGTAACACGGGCAAATCTACATGTAACACTCAATGATGTTTTGAATTCAATGGCATGAAAGAAGCTTGCCACTTTACTCGAATGATCTCAAACATAAAATGTTATCTTAACGGCTCGCATTGTTACTTGTAGGAAACAATGTGTTCAACTTAAAGGTAATATACAACATTTGCAAACATCCAAAAAAAAAGGACAAAAAAACTACCCATTTATAACAAAATAGTTTACTTGACAGTAAGTGGAAAGTAGTCTCAAGCATCATGTGAAATCATTGCGCCTTGTGTGCTGTCATTTTCAAGAAAAGCTTAAGGTTTGTGTCAAAAGCTGACCTTTTCACCCAAAGATTGCCCCCAATTTACCAAATTTAGTTAGACCACATTTTGTTTGAAATCGGTTACACATCCGTGAACGGATGCAAGCTTGGTGCAACCTAGAAAAAATGCTGTTCTTGTAGTCTGGTTCCCTGACCTGACAATTCCCCGACGTCTGTATAAAATTGCTCTCGTCTGTAGTACGGTCACCTGACAAATCCCCGACGCCTGTAACTTGCTCCGTTTCGTCTGAAGTACGGTCAGGGAACCAGACTAGCTACAACAACAGCATTTTTTTCTTGGTTTTCCAGCATCTATGAACACAAAATTTTAAGCAGGTCAGTTTAACAATATTTGCTATTAGCTATTAGCCCCCAAATCCATCTATGTCTGAAAATTACAGCAAAACAAATGTTGTATATTACCTTTGAAATACGAAGACGGTATCTCTCAGAACGCTGTATAGTTTGAATAGGAGATTCATACAATAAAGGCACTGTGTAGCTTTACATTACAGCTCGCACGTGACCATTATTCATTGCCATTCCCGTCATAAAACCACCCAATTTCGGGGTGAGATGCATCACACGTGACCTTTGTACCAGTTAATAAAATTGAAATTTGATCTTGACGGCTATTTTGAGTGCCAAGTTCAGACCTACAAGCCAAATTGCCTGAACGAGCCGTTTCCAGCGAAGTTTCGTTAAAAATGATAAAATATTACTGAAGCCTTGCCATCGCCTTTTGTTTCTAAGGACATTAGTTTGGATTGTAAATATTAAATTGGAGACCGAAGCACTTAGGCTGGTTGTGTTACAGTGGGATTGGGCTGCAGGCGTGCACTTTGCGGCGTGTGTGCGTGGAAAACACGCGGTACTATGAACAGCTAGCCGCGCGCCATGCCTTGACTCTGGCGAAAATGATGAATTGCCCATTTTTATCAAATTTGTCTGGAGCTGCCCAGACCTAATAAAGCGTTAAGCACCAGATGTTCACGGCGTAAGGGAACGCAATACCCGGGCCGTGTACGAAAAAATAATTTAGTTACAGATAGCGCGGTCATTAATCAACTATCTGATGTGGAAATAATATTGCATGGAGGGTAAACTGCCGTGCGGTGTGGGTGTGTGTATGTGTACAACTGGCGGCATGCAATCAAGGGTGTGTGAGAGGGGGGAAAGAAGGTGCGGAGCTGTATGGTCTCTGATTAGAGGTTGCACCTTGGCTGTCATTAGCAAGTACCCAATGGACTTCGTGCGTGAACAATAGAGGGCGCTTTTGGATCACTTTCGAGAGCACCAGTAGGAGGGACACACCTCGTGCGCGTACTACGAGCGCGTACGGCGCATGTTCATGGTGTAAATCGAGGACACAGATGTGAAGCATCATCGAGTAATTGAGGATAGGAGTCAAATCGAGGACGACCTCGATTAGAAAAATGTACCAAACCAATGCGAGCTGTTGCAAAAAACTTAAAGAGTATAAACAAAATATCGATGACGAGGAACAATAGAAGATCCTCGATTAACACCATAAACAAACCAATCTGTATACGCACTGCTAATTTGTTTCTGAATGTGCACAAACTCATGACGTCTTGCGTGTTCGCGTCTGGGGTCGTCAGCAGTGCGTTCGAATGTCCCTCCCAGTGGTCTCTCCCAACTCTTCCGTTGTCACCGTTGAGGGGGTACTTGTGCACGGAGTCCATACTACAGGTCTTCTTGTACAGTCCAAAAAATCTGCTGCCGTGGCATTTGTTACGTGGTTTGATAAATCCCGAATGAATTTTATTTTTGCAGTTCAAAGCGAAATCAGCAAGGAGAGCCGGTCGACCGGCAACAACAATAACAACAACAACGTGGTGAGATGCTGCGCCGGTTGCGGCTGCAAGATCATGGATAGATTTCTTCTGCACGCCGTGGACAGGTTTTGGCACACGGGCTGCCTGAAGTGCTCGTGTTGCAGCGTGCAACTCGGGGAGGTTGGCCCCTCTTGCTTCTCAAAAGGTGGCATGATCCTGTGCAAGAAAGACTACATCAGGTAAGAGTGCAATAACACCTTCCCATTCAGAACGTATTCATTAAAATAATTGTCTAACAGTTGAACAAAGTAATTGACTTGAGTTTGAACCTGCGACCTCTGGATGGCCGTTCCGCTGCCCTACCAACTGAGCGAACCTAACCCTGTTTTGGCGGTTCCCCATTTTTCCAATGTTTTTTTTTTGTTCAAGGAGCGCTATACAGTCGGAAGCCATAAACACGTTTATGTCATGCAGTCAGGAATCACGCCCAAAGTCACAGTGCTAGCAGCAGCAACATTAACAATGTGCAAACCCGGAAAGTGTTTTCTTCATCTTTGTATAGCCCACTTTATTAATTCATTTGCTTGTTTTGTAATTTTTCTGCATGAAATTGCATATGCGGAGTGTGCCCAAAAAAAGTGCAACATTAAAAAAACAAATAATTAAAACTGACTTTAATGTTTGTTTCTTCAATACAAATTATGTTTTACATTAAAGCCTGACTGTTTCTCAATCCACTCCTTTTCACCCTATTCCATTTGGGTCCCTAGATCCAGAATTACAATCAATTAAGTGAAAGGGTGTGAATTTTACTTGCCCCACTCTACTGGACATGCTGAATCTGTGTTAAGCATTGAATAGGCATTGAAATTTGTGACATCACAGGTGAGAGTGGCCCAAGTTACCCTTTCACTTAATTGATTTTTTTTGTATTTCTGGATAATATCTTCTGATGAGCAAGTTCGACCAAGAACTATAGTTTACCATAGTTTGACTCATCGAACGCGTTTTAGTCGAGGATGATTTAACTATAGTCGTTTTTGGTCTGTCCTATGTGGTTGATCGCGTCGCTGGTTACAGACAGTCACACGTATCACACAGTGCACTAGCAGGGAGCCAACACCGTTGGTTTCGCGATGACGCTTGACCGCAGTTCAACTAGGGATCGCTTAGCGGGCAGGCGCGTGGTACGTCGCTAATCAACCACTGGTTAACCAGTAGTCTTTAATCGAACTTGCTCCATGGCAATGCATAAACGTACGGTTCGCGTGGGGACATGCGTTCAAGCGTGCCATTCTTGTTTAAGCCGTAGAAGTACATCTGTATACATGTAAAGTTATAGACGGTGTACGGATTATACATGTACTGTACGTGCTGCATCAGTTATAAAGGGAGGGCGTCCTATTCTAGAGATTACACTACGCGCACAATCATTTCCATATAGGCTACATATAAACTTTATCATGTCAAGGAAACCCAAGATATTTTTGTTCATTTTATACTACAATTTTCAAATCAATAATCAGCGAAATATCTCTGTTTAAAAATTGTTTCCTCTTCAAAATAGCAAAAGCCTGTAATGCACTTCTAAAAGTTTTTATCGCAACTTTTTTTTTACAAATAAGTTCTGGAAGGCCTACTTGTTATAACAGTTTAAAATATTATTCCGATTTCCAAAATTGCATGTAGCGTTGAGGAATTTTAAGAATTTATTTTAGGCCTACACTGAAAACTGACCTTTAGTCGTTCGTGTAAGATTTAGCTAATCGCAGCGTTTTGATAAAATGTGACAAAAATCAAAGTTCGTTCAGAGGTCACCGCCTTCGTTAACGACATGACAATCTGTAGTCAGTGGAATTGTTGAAAGTGCTAACCATTACCAATTTTCCCAAAATGTTCCAGATGAAAGGGACCGACGATGTGACTAATATCCAAATGCCGTTCCGAAGCCACCTGCTTTGATCATAACAAGAAAGTCGAGCCATTAAGACATTAACAATCATTATTTCCAAAATGTTCCAAATGAAAGGAACGACAATGTGACTAAAATCCAAGACCGTTCCGAAGTCACCGGCTTCGATCACAACATTCAAATCTAGCCTTTGGAATTGTTGAAAGTTTGAAACACTAGCAGTGCACCAAATCAAAGGGAACTTATGCAGTGAAAAAGTCCGTAATCTGAAGAGAGTGCTGCCTAAAAATGTGGCTCCTTGACATCTTGATGGGCTTCTCAAAGTAGCCTTAAAAAGAGCCCCGTGTCGAGCTCTGTGAAAGCTTAGCGTAAGTGTAAACTTAGAGGACAATATTAAGGGATTTAGGTTTCCATTCATCCGGAAGGACGAATGCTGACAATAGTGTTAAAGAGATAATAAAGACAGGCTCAGGCAGGAAGATGATACCCGTCCGCTCAAAGGGCACCAAAATGTGCAATTAAGCTAACCAAGGGGCTTTCAGCCCGCATTATTTCGACTCCTTCACACACACATGCATACATATACCCCCTCTTAACGGTACTTTTCGACCGCTACCTTTCTTTGTCACGCTTTTCAAAAGACAGCTGAAGCGTCCCCCCCCCCCTCTTTTTTTTTTGAAGGATGAACAGACAAAAAAGATTATCAGCCCGTAACCTGTAAGAGGGATTTGTTGCAGTTGGATGGAGCTGTCTGGTTGCAGGCCACTGTTTGGGTTGGCAGGGGCAGTTCGCAAAAAAGTGCATTGGACGATCGATATACTTCATGCGAACCCCAAAGCCTTGGGAAGGGCTTATAGAGCCATTAAGTTATAACCAGTCTACCGTGAAAAACTGAAACTAGTGGTTGTCTCAACAGAGTCAAACCATGCAAGGCTGGATGACATGCACGTACAATCTAAACTGAGATTCGTCTCAAATACCATGAACTTATTTTGCAAGGCACAACGTTTTTTTTTGTTCGGGAAAAAAAATGCCTGCCCCCTAAAGAAAAAGAGGTTACAACAAGACCATACGATGTATTATGGTCTTGTTAGCTTCTTCTATTTGGTAGTTTGTTGGTGAATGTTTAGTCTGTAATTTTTTATTCAGTTTTGATTTCTACGTGTGGTCATGCCCATTTGATGAACTTGTATTGCGTCAGTAATACTGATTTGGATAAGTGTGAATGTGTGGTGTGATGCATTTCCCGCCGGGGTATAGTGTATTGCTAATACATTTTGAAAGTGACTGGAGCAAGTTGGCTCTGAAGATTTCATTTTGTGATAAAAAATAAGGTGCATCCGTCGCATTTGTAGGACTCCATTTAAAACATTCCAAATCAAATCTCCCGGGGAAGTTGAGAGAAAGCTATGCAGTGGTTAGAAGGCAAAAACCCAGGCCCTGGCTGCATAATAGTGTAGTGGTTAAAAGACGTGGTTTGGATCTGATGAAGTCCATCAAAGGACTCGCCTGGCCAGTGGGCCGCATCGTTTTCCCATCACGTCCATTATTTGCTTGCATCGATTTGTGGAAAAGCACTCCCAGCCTGCTGTATAGAAGTCTGCCTGCCTTCTCCCGGGGGAGCCAGATCGCATTAGACGGCACACGTGTTCTCACAAGTAGCTTTCACCTTGCACTTGATGTTTATCTTCCATTAGTCAACCCGTACTGCAATTCCACTGCGTTTCGCGAGCACACAGCGTACACAGAAGTTCCAATTTTTTGAGTATTTTTTTCTTATCTCAATGTAAAAATTTGTCAAGAAAAAAAATGACGATAACATTATTTGAAATGGAAGAAAAGGCAACCCTTGAAGCTTTTTACCAATATAGCGCCTAGCCTGCAATCGGGAGTAATGGGGCGGAACCTGATTGAAAGCGAGTGCTAGAGATATCCCGCGTTAGTTCTCTTGTCCATCAACCACAACCACTCTCCCCGTTATCCATGCGCCTGCAATTACTCTTTCATTCAAGTCGACTGTCTGGTGAACGAGATGGAAAGAGACGAGAACATCCGAAGCGACCCAGTCTAACCACCCTTTGGGACTACATCGAATCGACTCTGTTAAAAGGGTCGCTGTTGAGGGGAATTGTCCACCTAAGAGGGAAGTTGAAAAAAAAGAGAGACGCACTGCATTACTGAAAGGAGTGGTGTTTTTGGTGTATTGAAATGGAAATCAGACTTGAATTTGCAAACAGTGAGTTGGCTGTATAGGGCTTCTAAATGTGAAAGAAAGGTCGAAGCTTTTTGATTTAGTAATCCAGTAGATGGGCTTAAGCATCATACAGCACAGAGAACCCTCTTAACATCAGCTTTATCTTCAATCAGAAAAAAGGAGTAATTTCTGAAATGCATTAGTGGTGAGGTCTGGCGTTATTATTGGCTGTGACGTAGACGGAATTCAGTTTAATAATTGACGACGGCCCGAGTCACAATAAGCTTAGTGTCAGAAAAGCCGGAGTGTGTTGCAGTGAAGGAGATGGATTGGTTTAATGGGAATGACTTGAAGCCCCCAGGGCACGGCTTGCTATCATGAGTGATGTAAAACCGCATCTTCATCACATCACCAAAATGGAAGCACTACAAAGATACTGAAAAGGAAAACCTAAGAACATCAATGCATTTGTGGATCAAAAAGATCATGCCCATTCTTCCCAATATATAATGTTTACAGTTGTGGTTTTATCGATTTACCTGTTAAGTTAGTGCTTCACCTGTAGCAGAATGTTCTTCAACTTTCAATGTGCAATAGTAATATTCTTGACCCGAGTCAAACATTGAAGGTTACAGTCTACATGGTGATTGTTGTATTAAAAAAAAGGTAACTCCATGCTGGTTTGAACTTAAAAGACAATATCACATTATGCATCAAAGTGCATCTGGGTAAGCCTGCATGATGAACACTTCTCAATCAATTCTACATGGAAGTATGGATGAATCAGATTCTAATTTTTTTTCACGATACTTTTTTAGTGATTATTCAAGCTAAACAAGGAAGCACGTGGAACGAGTTTTTAAATCTTGTCGAATTTACTTTAAAAATATAACGTAGGGCAGCATCATTCGTCAGTAAATGTGCGCAAAACCCGATAGTTTGTGTGCATATATCTTGCATTGTCCAGTTGATGTTTTCATGGTGTTTTACGCCCCTGTGCACGTTGATGCGATTTTTGCCTCGGAGTGAAACGTAAAGTTGGAAGAAAACAACGAACGAAATGAAATTCTTTTGAGCTTTGAGTAATATAGTGACATAGTCTGTTGTACTGTTGTAAAGTAAAACGTTTCGTG